TTTCATAAACATGATGTTAGACGTTCCCGGAACACTGGTTCGTCTTTGTTAACAGCTTGTAAATTATAATAAGCGTTACACGTAGCAGGGCAATTGATCTCAGTTTTATATTCAATAATTTTTTTTTTTTTTGATGGTAACTACAAGAAACAGACCTTCAGTGACTGCAGCAAGGGCCATACAGTCAAACATTACATGACTTAGTGTAAACACCTCATATTCACGGTATGCATCAGCACACTAAACAAATTTTTTTTTTATGTATTTACAAAACTGTCCTGTCCAAATAGATGATTTTTTTTTTTTTCAAACTCAGAGCGCTATAAATTGTTGTGCCACTTTTTTGCAAGTGATAAACGAACAATTTGAATTAAAATTAAAAATAATTATTATGCATTTGTTCAACAAACCGTAGTTAAGCTTTATTTTAGAAAACAATTTGGTAAATGTTTTAAAGGCAAAAAAAAGGTACGAAATCGTAAGTATAGCATAATTTGATCCAAAAGAAGATTATTAATTAGTGTGTATTTATGTAAAAAAGAAATTTTCTTTTTTTTAAATCTAATTACCGCTTGTTCAGATCTGTCTGCGTCACCCATCGGACTTTCATGATTGCCTCTTAGCATATAGACGTTTTTTGGCCATCTCAGTTTCATCAACAGAATTAGAATAAGGACGTCTAGTTGATGACTACCACGTCCCAAGTAATCACCTCAACATATTTCCCTTTAGTTTCGTTAACTAACCTTCTAACTTTCTAAAAACGAATGGTTTTACTCTATTATTCGACACTACGTTGTCGATAGTTTTTTAACTTTTTAAGAGAAAGGCCCTTACACTGTAGGTTATTTTAAACTTTTTAAAACATTATAGGAGCATTGTTGAAGGTTTCGCTTTTTACGGCAGATTAGACTTTATCGGTTCAACAGTTATACCTACAAGGGTGTAGTCATTTAGTCGTAAAAGATGAATGAGTATATTTAAAAACAGCAAAGACAAAAACTATAAAAATAATAGATGATAATGATTCCGTAATAGTAACCTTAAAACAGGTAAGTTTGATTTGGAGGTAAGATTTGAACTATCATTGACCAAGAATATCATTGATATAACCATGTAAATCCCCAAATATAATACATTCAGTGTCAAAATCAAACTCTAGTAATGTTGATTCGTTTTTGAAGATCTCAATTTTGTTAACCAAAATCTAAATTTTGACTGCTTCTAGTGATAAATGCTTAATGATGCTGAATGCTTAACACCGCCTTCACAGTTTCGTTACAAACATTTGCTTTTTCGTCGAATTGTAACTACGCGTTACTGCGCTTGGTATTCTACGCATTAATCGTTATACTTTACAACTTTAATTGCTGGTGCAAATACCAGTAAGTTATCGAGAGTCGTATAGACGAAATTGACTTAAACAAATGCGGTTATTCTTCGGTTAGTTGTGACGCACTACACACCAACTAACTTACTTTAAGCATCAACTTTACAGGTATGATTTCTTCAATTGGTTGACGTCTTTTGACATCGTTGCAGTCGTAAGGAGCCTCAACCAGTCCTAGTATACTTCTTTCGATTTTCCTTTTTGTTGAATGCCAGTCAATTGCTGTCGTTCCAACTGATTGCTTCTGCATAAATCTGCCGTTAACGCTGGTCTAAAACTTCTCGAAAGTTTTTTTTTTCTTTGTTGTCATGGAGCTGCTCAGATGCTTTGATTACCTTACACACACTGAATAACCAAACAGAGGTGCAGTAATCACCGATATTCGGTAAATGAGTAAAATGGCTATTTTATTTTGTTTTTTTTTTCTTCAGATTACTGGATCATTGGTCTTTTTGAAATATTCAAAATTTATATGTGATGTGTATTTGAATTTCAGTTTATTGTTTGAATAGTTAAGTATTATTGAACAAATGTTTTAATTATGTCGAAAACTCTATATAAGACTGTCTGTTCAATATCAAATTTGTTCAACAGACATAGTAATAAGATCTCTAGTTGTTGTAGAATTATATTATTTTGAGCAATTTTGTCTTAATCAAGTAAAACGACATTTTTTTTACAACCGCTTTAGTGTCACGGTAAATTAAACAGTATGTTTCAGCAAGAAATTGTTTTTTTATTTGGACACTCAGTGCTCGTAAGTCATCTATAAACTGAAGAACTATTTGTACACTAAAAAAACTGATTTCTTCTTGGATAATAATCTGTTTCTCTTTACCCTCAGTCAGATGAATAGGTTCTGTATTATGAAATCGTTGGTAAACAATTTTGAACCTTTCAACTAGCGTTAACCATTGTCTAATCTCCACTGTTACTGTATTCAAGCAAAGTTTGCCCATAAATAGCCAATGAAGTATTGGAATGCTAAACGCACCGCTCAAATTCGATGAAATTTGAAGAATATACTTGGCTTCTAAACAGCATTTTGACGTCTTCGCAGTGTCTCATAAGTGGTATTTGTTGTGGATAATTGAGGGTATTTAAGACTAATAGCCACAGTCAACCTTTCCGTACATTGATACGTGATACCAGTTCTAATTTTATGACGCAAATCAATTTCTGAACAGTAGAAGTGCAGTAAAAGAAAAGTAACGCAGCTCTTCTAATTTTCAAACATCGCTTTCACAAAAGTTTAAAAACTATGCAACAACGAATTTAAACCTCGACTAGAACATGTATTTCAGTTTTCTCAACTGCGTTAGTACTAACACACAATCTGTTTCCAGTGTACCCTACCTTCTTATAAGTTATAACGGCGATTTATTGATGTTATAGCGGTAAAAGAGAAAAGAACGACCAGAAGTGTATTCTAGCAAAAAATTTTGAAACAGAGCACAAAAGAAAGAATTGAAAATACAGGCAGGTAGCGACCATTAATTTAATTTGCTTTTTTTTTCTTGCCTGCTACAGAATAAGTCCTTCTATGCTTAAAAAGTTCTTAAAAAAATAGAGAAATTAAATGAGGCTCGTGATTTTTAAAACTTTACAAATGACTAAAAACAGTAAAGAATAAACTTCTGTCCTGTCATCTTCATGGTGGGCCGACGTATCAAATAGTTTTTTCAACTTTTTTTTTTTTTTTTTTGGACCGACAACTGCACATTAGCTTTGGTGTGTACGTTGCAATACGACAGAATTTTTGATATCAGAAGCAACAGCAACCTTTCGTTGATTGTTTTGGAAAGCCAAAAATTATTTCTTTCTACCTTTTCTTTATACAAAAAAAAAAAAATTCAGCTTAGGTCGACTAGTTACTGTTGTAATCATTCTGTATTATTTTTTACTTTTAAAAAGTTTTTTTACTTTAAAACTATCTATTTTTCTGCAAAGTACTGCGATTTGAGCGTCAATCAATTCTTGGCCACAATTTCGAGATGTGTCTTTCAATCTGAAGAACTTCAAAGAGTAAACTGACGCTTGACTTTAAATTTGTAGCCTTAAGCATTATACTTCTTTGAAATATTTTTCTTCTTATTTCTGCACTTTCAGTAATATTTGCAGTAGGTGTATGCGAAAACAAGATTTTTATAACCTACTACAGTTGCTGTTATAACAACAAAAGTTCAAGAAAAGTGTATCTTTGAACCAGTAAATTAATGGAATTTGAAAGTAATAAACTGTTGCTCAAGAAGCATATATTAAGCATATACAGCGTAAAAGTAAATGAGCCATTAAAGCCTAGATAAGAGATGACCACTTTTTATAATTTTAACCACTGTTTGATAAAAAATTTAACAATTTTTTTTGTGAAATTGATAATGATTGATGTACACTTAAAACTATTTGCCGATAATTCATATGGCTTATTACAAATAGCAGAAAACAAAATCGTTCTTTGCTTTAACACTACTTACTCGTTGTAAAACGCTCAGTACAGTAGAAGTCAGTAGACAACTGTAGATAGTTGAACTTAAAAAATGGTCTTCAATGTTTTACTTGATTAGTTTGAGATAAAATTGAATTGCTGGAAAATATCTCTAGTCCGCTGTTGATCAACAGCAGTAACGTTACCAGAAAATATCCATTCAAAATTTTTTTGTAAAACTATGATGCAAAATAGATCGGTAAATTTGAAAAAAAAATGAATTTAATTTTCTAAAGATTAGTAACATTCTAAATAAGAAGAATTTAAGAAAAAGCAAAAAAAACAGGAAGTAGTATCACTACAAAAGTAAACAAACGTTAAACGCAAAATTAAAACAAGTTTTTTCAGTTTTTCCTGATTAATTGTTGCAAAAGCAATTCTATTTTTTCTAATGAATTTCAAATTTTTCAAATGTGTTTTTTCTTTAATAAGTCTAAATTCTAAGTTTCAGTATTAGAAATTTCCAGTTTCTTCTGCTCTTCTGGAATTCCATTATACACCAATATTTAATGCTAAATGATAAATGATTGTCAAAATTGTCACTACAATATTGTCCGCTGCAGTATTTAGTACATATTCTTCAAAACTAACCATTTATGATTTAGGCTCTATTCTACGATATTCCGAGGATATTTTTTTGCAATGAACAAATTTTTTAAGTCTGCTACGCATAGACTTGCTGTTGTTGGATAAGATCTGCAATATACCATAATGTTTTTCTTTGAAGATGACAGCATTAGTTCCTTCCATTAGCTTTTATAATAGACATTTACGTATGTAGTCGAGTGTCTTTCAAAAGCATCTTCAAAGAATTCCCGAAATATTTCAGGAAATACAGTGATATGACGAAAGCGACGACCCTAATATTTCTTCTACTCAGTATATCGACGATTGCGTGTCAAAGTAAGGCTGTAATTTGAAGTGGGCACAAAAGTTTAAATCATAAAACTTACACTCGGGATTTTCACAAAGCCATAGAACAGTACGAGCAGCTTCATAACCAAAATTATTTCAGCTTTCCTTAACCCTTCTGGTTTCAGGTGCAGTTTTCAAAAGATCAGTAACACCTCAACAAACCTGGTCTCATCGTCAAAAACGTACAAGTGTTAAGAAATTACGCTCGGAAGCAACAAGCTTTGGTCCTGTCACGTCGACGAACGATGACCATTTTACCGGTTTCGCAGTTTCTGGACTACCAGCAAGCATCATACACGACGGCACTTTAGACTCTTCATCTCGTGCAGTATCATTGAAAAAAACCAAGAGAGACGTTGAATCTCAGGTTGACACCCCATCTTCTGCAACCTCAACATCAAATGTCGCTTCACCGATCCCGCTTTCTGTG